CCATAAGACTCCATTTCGATGGCAAGCTTCTGATAATATTCTTCACGTGATGTGTTGTTGAATATCCTTTGTTCAGAACTCTCAGTCCTTCAACTAAGGTTTTAAACCTTGAGAACATCATCTCAATTGTTTCATCATCCTCTATCTTGAAGGCTTCATACTTCTGAATAAAGGCCAAAGCCTTGGTTTCCTTGACTTGATCATTTCCTTCATGAGTCATTTGAGAGAGTCAAATATAGACTTAGCTGAGTCTCTATTTGTGATCTTCTCATACTCAGTGTAAGAGATAACATTCAGCAAGACACTTCTTTCTTTATGATGATTCTTACAATTATTTTTTTGTTGATTAATCATAGATTTCATCTCAAGCTGATTTCCATTCTCATATGTAAGATGTTCATAGCCATCGACTAACATATCCCAGAGATCAATATCATGACCTAGAAAGAAAATTTCTAGTATATCTTTCAAGTACTCAAGCTTTTCACCATAAAAAATGGGAGGTTTAGAATTATAGTTATCTTTATCAAAAACTGGAGCAGGTGGTGGTGGAACAAGATCAATTATAGTGTTTCTAAGACTCATCTGGATCTTTATGTGACACGGTTAATTGTTTGATAAATATGAATACCAGAACCGAAGCTCTGATGTCAATTGAAGGTGCGAGAAACACAAGAAAAGGGGTTTGAATTTGGTTGCACCAAATATAATCTTTTTGCAACTCAAAACACAAAGATAACAAGTGAATAAAAATATATGAAGAAAATTATTTTTATCCTAGTTCACAGTTAACTAAGTTACTCTAGTCCACCGCACACGGTGATTTGCCTTATACACAAGGACTTAATCCACTATAATCAACCAGATTACAGACAACCACAATAAGTCCAATCAACCCTATTGGAACCCCCAGTAAGTCAGCTGATCCTTTTTGCAAACCACTATAACCGTAACCAGAGTCTTCTTGAGTCTTCAGACCTTCACTCGGTCACTCAAGGAACTTATCAACAACAATTGATTTACAATGATGTGTATATAAAGATGCTTCTACACAAGCATATTACACAAAGTTTAAGTACAATACAAAAGTGTTGATAGCAAGATACGAGCAACAACTCCTTGCTTATTTACAAAACTATACAAAAGAAGATTTCTCTACAGAGTTTTTATGTAGCAGTTTAGTATAGATTTGTTGAACTGATTCATTAATTTCAAATTATTCCAAGTACTTCTTTTATAGATGTAAAAAAGAGATCCATTGCAGGGGTAGAATAGAAAATACAAATACAGTTGTATTGTTCTCAACGGTCATGGTGAGACTGGTAGACATTAGTACAAAAATATATGCCTTTGTGCCACTCTAGAGAGTAAAGGTCACAATATACTTTTGTACTTTTATACTCACCGTCACACGCAATCCCTTTAGTCTTGATCTTCGTCATCTATATCTTCAAAGGCTTATGATATATTTGTTGATGAAACATGTTGTAGATGGATTAGAACTAATATCTTCCAGAACCTATGTCATTAAAACCTTTTGGGACTTGTTCAAAGAACCCTTGTCTTAGTTAGTTTTCAGCACTTGATCTTCAGAAGAATGTCTTCAGAACTATGTTCAGCAGAACCTTTGTCTTCAGCATCTTCAGAACTTGGAACATCAGAAGTAAAGCTATAGAAGGCCTGCAAAGCTTCCTTGGATAAGTCATGATTAGAAGCTCTTTTACTAACGTTCATTAGAACCGTTGCATAAGACGCATTCCTTAATCTTGACTTAACTTGTAACACACCAAAGGTATTCTTCTAGAGTGTTGAGTTCAGAACCTGATGACGTCACACGCCTTCTTACTAGAGTCAGAACCTACATGAAAAAATCCACCCACTATACAGAAACCTGTTAGAGTATACAATTGTTCATAAAGATAACATGTAAAGTTATCAAATATAAGGCCAAATGTAGAACAAAATTTATTCTCACACATATTATCTGCATGCTCAACATGTTCGTCTGAATCCTTGGTTTTGTCATAGCACTGCAACTTTGGTGGCTTCTTGAACGACAACATGTTCCTTTTTCGCTCTCGAACCGTAACATCTTCATCATACCTTTCTCTTCTTCGAGGAAGACATATCGATGAATATCAGAGGTAACAAACCTCAAGAAGAGTATGGCTACCACTCTCTCCTTCATATCGAGTGCGGAAGTTTGGAGACTCAGTTACGAGTTGGTGACCCCAGGGCTTCTCCCTATGGTGCATAGTTGTGTCAATGGAGTCTGGTTTTGGTACACCAAAACTTAAATTTAACTACGATTTGATCATAACAAAATTTAAAATTTTTAAAAATGTTTAAAAAATCATTCAATTTTGTTTATAAAAGTCTATAAATTTTTAAATGTCAAGTAAAAATGTATTGAACTTTTCTTGCATAAATATAAATTTTAAAACTTTTAAAAATTAAATTACTCAATATAAATTTAAATGACATTTCAATTATTTTAAAGTTTATGTGGAGTAAGAAGGAGATAAATTATTAATTCAATCTTTAGTGCTATTCTTAATACATTTTTATATTTAACAGATTTAAGTGGACTCTCAAACAAAACAAAAAAACACAAAAACTTCAAATTAAACAGTTAAATTATTTTGGAATAATTTCAAATTTTGAAAAGTGTTAAATTTGTAATTATTACACCATGTTCTCTTGGATTTAACATGAATATCTTTGGACCAAAAACCAGAAAGTCCTTTATTGGTAGCAAAGTTCCGATTTTGAAATTTGTTGAAAGAGTTCCGGTTGAAGCGTCATTCAAATCATGGTGAGTTTCCCTCTTTCAGTTTTCCTCTTACGCTTTCTCTCACACGAATTCCCTTTTTCAATATTCAAGCAATTAGGGTTTCCAAAATCTAAGATGAGTAACCTAGTTAATTTCGATTTTGAACTTTTCTCTGCTTGATTAGGGATGTTCTGCGGAATCTATGTATTAGAGCCTGTTGCATTGCATTGAATTGAATGATTATGTGCTATTTTGTTGATTGTATTCGTTTCTTCTTGTTTGATGACAGGATGGACATGACTCAGAAGATCCAAAACAAAGCACTGCTGATATGACTGTTTTTGTAAGTTTTTAAGCATCTTAAAAAGTAATGCTTTTTGTTCTATCATTGCATTTGCATTTGTTTGTATCAACAAATGCTAGTAGTAGTAATTAGTTTGGACGCCACTGTGATTTCTCATCGTAGTATCAATTTGGCTAGTTCATATTCCAAATTGGTCTGCCTGATGATAACATTTGTAACAAAACTTTAGCCGGTGTGGTAAATTGCAATTATAGCATATATTGGAATTTGAACAGGTCCCTATTTTGTATTACTACAAATTATTGTCATGTCAAGTAGCAGTATTAGTGGCGCTATAGTACTATAGTATATCGGATTTGAATAAACTCTTACTTTCTGTGATCTGCGATTGTCAACACTGATTTTATCTCTATAGCTTATATTTTTGAGCCATTTCTCACTGGTTGGCCCAAAGTCCGTGATTGGAGTAGGATTATGCTAATTGATGTTCTTGCTGTAATTATGGAGGATATGTTTTAATTAGAAGATTAAAAAAAAAAAACTTGTGTGTTTGTCAATTACATTTGACATTTGTCCCCATTCTCTGTTTTCAGGTGCAAAATCTTCTTCAGCAGATGGTGAGTTGTATACTCTAGGTTCTTTGAACTGCATTGCTAATTTTGAATATATAATTAACTGCTGCTAACAAGAATTTTGTCTACAGCAAACTAGGTTCCAGACAATGTCTGACTCCATCATTTCAAAGAATATCCTTTTCAGATACTCTTCAAGTTGTTGATATGATAAAGTAACCATTGTTAAATAGAAATCTGCTATGGAAACTAATTTCAAAAATGGTAATCCATGATATTGATCTAGCTTTTTCCCCATAAATGTTGTCATTCAAATAGGTAAAATCACAAAAGATCCAAAGTTTCTTAATATCACCAACTTGTACTATTGCATTCCAATTTTGCAAGGAATATCTTTGGAGAGTTGGTTGGTTAAGTTTTGTTATATGGTGTTTAAATGGTATGTTAATTATACTTGCTAATAAGGAGATACTAGACTCTTGAAGTGAACAATTGTTTGCATTTTTTTCGAAACAATGAAAATGCCTAAAAATTGTTTTTACTATTTTCACAAATATATCATTTCTAACTAGCAGTTTGTTGTGCATGATTTATGACCGACAACTTGTCTATGAAATTGGTTTGTATATGTTGTATATTGGCTAAAATCTGGATGTGTAGTGGTGCCAGTTCTATTATATGAGTTTTGCCGAGTTTCCCATTGTTCAAATTGTTGAGAAAATGTTCTCCTTGACTTCATTGCACTTGACGATATGGGAGGGCGTATAAATGAGTTGGAGCAAAGCATCAATGACCTAAGAGCAGAGATGGGAGTGGAGAGCTCTCCATCACCTGAGGCCCCTGCTAAGCCCGAGGAAGAAGAGTCAAACAAAGAAGGTTCGGCATAAGTAGCATCCAACAACCGTATTTATTGTCTCATGATACATCAGGATTTTGTCCCTGTATCTTGAGAGTATAGAATTGATTCAGAATTCAGATACTTGTCATTGAGCATGAGTGCACTCTCTTTTGTAGCTAAAGTTCATCTTTCTGTTAAATTATAGTACTGCTGAATAATTTTTCTTTTTCTGATTTGAGTGAGAAATTTGCCATATTATTACTTTGTTCCCCCCTGCACGTTTTAATTGCACGCTCTTGCCTTTTATTCATTTGTTTTAGATACCACAAACAGGGCAAGTAATTAAGAGAAGACAGTCCATTTACAATATCAACAATATCAGTTTTAAGTTAAGTTTACATAATCTTTCGGAAATCAAAGGAGGAAACAAACACCATAAGTAAAACATACATAACCTGAAATCATCATAACTATAGTCTATAGAGGAATCATAGAAAGAAAGTTAAGCTTCTTCTAAGAGCTATTACGGCAACGGGTGATGGTGGCACAGCCGCGGGTGTAAGGATTGGCTTCTGCACCCGGCTTGCAGTTGTAATAGGATGCACCCTTATGAGAGCATGGCACAGTGTTCCTCTGCAGTGCTCTGTAGCTTATATACTTTGTTGTTGCTAGGATACGCCGGTGAGACTCAAAACCCATTCCAAACTCATTTTCTTCTATGCACTCTTCTATGGAGCCTTGGCATGTTGGTGTTATCGTTGTCGCCTCCCACATTAGATGGTGCTTGTCTGTTGTGCCGTCTGTGGTGGTCGAAAAGATGAAAATGGAAACCATAAACAAGCAGAAAGCTAGTTGGAGAAAAGAAGCATTTGACATTGTTTCTGTGGAGATGGTGGTGAATGGTGAAGGTTTTCCTTATTCTTGTTTATGCTTTCAAGTTTTCATTCATTTTAATTCCACCATTTTATAGAAGCAAACTTGGGTAGTAAAAGTTGGTAAGTAACTTGTTTATCAAGTATTAGATAACAAAAATCAACAAATGGAGAAAGTTGATAATCCATAAAGGTAGATTTACAAGTTCCAATGTGCTATAATTACCGAGAAGAATGTTTGGTAAAAGACATAAGTACAAAACCTACCAAGAAAATGATGTTGAGAGTGAAGGGGCATGGATGATACTAGGTTCGGATTCAAAGCATTAACTGAAAGTTGATAATGAAAGTTTAATATGTATGAATTACGCATATGTCTAATTCAACAATGTGTTTGTGTCTGAGCCCTTACAAAACTTGATGTTGGGTTTGAATTTATGTTGCCCACTAAGAGTGTTTTTTATCCCTAAGATTCCATTGGCCAATTGACATTGCGAATCAGCTTCTGGAAGGAATAGCTTGTGGCTTGTGCTTATCCAAGTCAAGTTTCTTCAGAGAGGAAATTTGCACAACAACATCGAACAATCATCACTATTATAGCTTAAATGTTTAAGGTTTAATTACTTTTTTAAAAAATCAATTGAATATTCCAAGGGATTATAATAATCACAGGGGTGGATTGGTTTATTCACTAGAATAAGAATAAAGGCAGTCAGTCTAGTTAATGGATAGAGGCAGTCCGTCCGGATTAAGCCTTGTCGGTAGTCTATAAGATAGACAATTTTTTATTACACCTTTGTATCTTTTTCAAGGCTTTTAGAAAAATATCTAAAATGCTGGAGATATATCTCCGGATGCATCAAATTTCATTTTTTTATTAAATAAAATTAAGAGATATACAATTAAATTTTTTTTAAAGGTGTGTTCGGAGATATATTTCCCTCTGCACATAACCTGGTTTCAGAAAAAATAAAAAAACAGAAATATGACAGAAATAATGAAAATAAAAAACAAATCAACACCAACATAAACATTTTATTAGATAAAAGTATTCATTACATAGATAGTCATGAAAGTAAATTCAATATTATATAACCATTTCATCGGGACGTTGCAATATAATGATTATATCTTCGACGGATCTTTGAATTTTCGCATCTACTCCAATCAGACCCTTTGATTCATAACGGAGAAAAATACTCCACATAACCTTTAAATTTTCATTCTCTTAAGTTCAAAATTGTTGAAATGAACCTTCCATTCGCTTCAAACGAGGGTGGCTGATACTCAAGCTTGGCAACTCTGCAATTTTTTGGAAAGTGCAGGAGAGTATTCATTTGGATATTAGATATGTGAGGGATGTTTCCTCGGTTACCCTAAACGGAAGTGACGACTTCTCTCCATTGAAATACACAAAAGCAAATCTATCTTGAATTATTTCTCATTCAGTTGGATGCTTATACCTGCTTTACCATCTTTAATCACACTGTCATCATCAAACTAGAGTCTTTTCTTTAATGCCGAATGTGTTGATTCGACTATATTAGTTGTTGTATTACCGAGGTGTCTAATCTGGTCGGTCCATGCACAAATAATTTTTTCCTTCACTTGGTCCAGAATAATACTCTCGTATTTCAGAAAATCTAGATATCGAACACACATGCTACTAAATTGCATTAAGGAGGCAACATATAACTCTTATGTGGATGAATTTAATATATCGGTCCATGCATCCATAATTTTTTCTACCACCACACTTGATTTGACCATTTTTTCGTCTTCACCCTTGATTTGTTTAGTGCCTACCGCGAGTTTTAGCCGACTCCTCACATTTTTGTAATGTAATATCGACAAAGTAACCCATAAGACGTATGAAACACCTTTGCAACTGAATTCATTAGTGCGGTGTCTCGATCATTGACAATTACCTTCGACGTGTTTTCTTGGTCCTTCAACAAAGTCTTGCACACTTCCAAGGCCCAAGTAACATTGATCTCTTTTTCGGATTCCAAAAATGCAAATCCCACTAAAAAAAGTAGGAAATGTAAATCCCTATACTTATTGGTCTTGTATGTTGCATCAATAATGAAGACACTAGAAAATATGTTGAACAACTTGATACTTTCAGATGAGTTTAGAAAATATCACGAACAATGACTTTATCATCACATACTACGTACCTAGGAACATAGTGATTTTCAAAAGTTTCAAAAGTTGTTGCACTTCAGATCTTGGATCCATTATTGCCATGTTGTTTTGATGACGCTGATTGTGTACTTGCTTGATATTTGAAACACTTTTTGGATGTTTCTGTTTCAAATCTGCAAGTATATTTTTCATCGTCACTCTGATTAAAGACATGTTCGAAACAATTTCCTTCTCCTCCAGTTTAAGACGACATACGATGGGATGACCAGCTAGCTTTGTTTGTAAGTCATGGTTATGTATTTCAGAAAGTACGTCCAATTTTCACATCTCATCCATGCTACAATATGCGCACAGTTCAAACAGACAACCACACTTTTTCGTTCCGGTGTCATCGCGTTTCAACTTCCAAATTGAGGAAACATATGTTCCACTTCTCTCATATCTCATGGTTACAAATGCTTGTCTTCTGTTGTGAAATTCTGACACAACATGACAGATGTCGTATACGATGTCATGACACCATGATATCAAAACGTAATATCGAGCGCAATGTTAAGACATCGTAACAACAAACTGAACAACAAAAAATTTAAATAACTTTTGCAAGAAGTAAATAACACGAGTCAATTGTTAACCCAGTTTGGTGCAACGTCACCTACATCTGGGGACATCCGAGCCAGAAAAGAATTTCACTATAGCAATATTAGTTTGAAGTTCTAAACGACCTCTGCTTTTACAAACTTCGTGCCTAATCACTACCCATGTAATTTCTATCTAAGAACTCCTAGATACGAAACCTCTCACTTCCCTTCAATTACACAACAATGATGACAACAATAACAATAAAAAGAAGACACACTTCCAATGAAACATAACCTACTCTTACTTAAAAGTTTGAGTGATTCACAATTACAATTCAAAACTCAATCCAACTCAAGCATCAAAGAAATAAAAGTGTGGACCACAAATAGCAAAGAACAAAGAACAAATTAAACCCTAATGGATATTCTCACACTTGCGTCTTCTACCTTGCTTAGGTTAGAGCCTTTCTTTTTATAGCCAGAGAAGCGCTTGGGCTTGGATATTAAATCTGATCAAAACACTCTGAAAATCAAATCAAATATTCTGGTACAAGTATAATTTTTCCCTAAATGTCTAGGGGTGTAATCAGATCGGTTTGGACTGGTTTTTTTTATCAAAAAAAGGTCCGAACCGATGATATTTCCATCGGTTTGTTTGGTTCGGTTTTTAACATTTTTTAAAAATGGAACATAACCAAACTAACCGGTCCGGTTTTGTTTGGTTGGGTTGATCGATTTACAAATTTTTTTCAAACAATATATTCATCAGTGTATTCTCTAACTATCATGTTTTTCGGTGTATTTTATGCTATTATTTTTTAAATAATACATTTGATATAATTTATTTCATATGCTCTATTTTTTCAAACAAATTACAAGTTGCTCTTAATCCATACAAAATTGTGATATGATTTCCATTGCATCATAAAATAAGTTCACTATCAAATATAAAAGTTAACATTTGACATCAGAATATTGAAAATATATTTGAAAGCTTAAGAGATAGAACACAACAAAACACACATCAATTAACATGTTTCACACCTCAAACGCACATCAAAATTATTTTGTAACAAGACTAGAAGGAACTATGTTGAAGAAGAAGAAACAAAAAAGGTAAAAGAAAATATGAAAAACAAAGAGAACTGAAACACGAAGAAGGCGACCATAACATATCATAATGATGATAGTGAGAGCAACAATGGTGGCGGACAGCGAAAGCAGCAGTTATGTGAAATCACGTTTTTTGTGACTTATGATTTCTACTTTCTATGTTTTGGAGTTTGGTTCTATATGTGTATTTTACTGAAAAGAAGGAAGTGTAAACAAAGATGTAAAATGGTAGGACCGATAAAAGATTTGGACTTAATGATGAGTGAAATAATAAATTTAGAGCATAATTATTTCTATTGGTTCGGTTCATCGGTTTGGCGGTTTCTGAAAACTAAAACCAAGAATCGAAACAAACCACATATGTTTTTATTGGTTCGGTTCGATTTTAGAACCAAACCAGAAACAATTGGTTTTATTTCAGTTTGGTTTGATTTGAATGGTCGATTTAATTGGATTTTTCTGATCCGCTTACATCCCTATAAATGTCACAATATTCAATCTTGAGAAACAAATCTAATCAGATTGGATCTTTCACTTGAAACAAATCTTCAGAGAATTAAATCTTCAAATGCTCAGCTTGGTCCACACGAAACAAAAATCAAATCTCCAAAGATCTTGCATTACAAACAAATCTTCACAGCTATAAAGCAAATTTTGCACTACGATGTCATACCATCATGTCAGGACATCGTGTCCAACATCTTGCTGAAATAATTGTTTTAACAAAATGCAAACCCACAAATTTCAATTACAATGTCAAACCCCAAAATTTATGACTACCATCTGCACCCATTGAAGCATATGTTTGCGAGCAGTATACAATTGTTCATTTATGAAACATTGACGAACATCTATCTCTATCGATTTAACATCATCCTTCACTTTTTCCGATTTAACATCATGCTTAACTTCAATTGGTTTAACATTATCCCTCGCTTCATCATGTTTTACATCGTTACGTGCAACAACTTTGTGAAACATATCCGGGTAAACCGTATCTAATAATAACCAAAACAGAAAAAAATCTTAAAAACCAATAATAGATTAATTAAGATATACATATCTGAAATCATGTAAGTGAGTTCAGATTTGTATATCCACGCAAAGCGAATGTTTTTTCATCTCAAACTCAAGATTAATGCAAGCGGTGAGGGATAAAATAAGAGAACTTTACTTTAAATCGCAGCTTATTATGCTCCCTTTGATGTGATAAAATGGAAGAAATCTGGTTAAGAATCGAAAAGTTGATTGATAATGAGATTTTTTAAGGCTATTTTGATTAAGGCGGAGTTTGAAGAGTGAGGAAGATGATCATGCAAGGTAGTCATATATTCAAGTTCCCGTCGGACATTTTCGGATATCTCCGAAGATATCTGAAATCATGTAGGTGAGTTCAGATATGTATATCCGGATAAGGCGAATGTTTTTTCAACTCGAACTCAAGATTAATGCAAGCAATGAGAGATGCAATGAGAAAAATTTACCTTAAATTGCAGTTTATTATACTCCCTTTGATGTAATAAAATGTTGATTGATAATGAAATTTTTTAAGGGTTTTTTGGTTAAGGAGGAGTTTGAAAAGTTCGATGAGTGAGGAAGATGATCATACAAGGTGGTCATATATTCAAGTTTCCGTTGGACATTTTCGGATATGCATCCCCGAAAATATCACCGAGTGGTTAAAAAAAGTCTCTAAATAAAAATGTGACTTTAGAGATGTATCTGTCCTTGGGTAAATTTGGAGATGCATCTTCGAACTAAATTTTACCAAAAAATTGTATTTGGTAAGTTCGGAGATGTATCTCCGAATTCACCAAGGATATTTTTGGATTTTCAAAGATGCGTCTCAATATGAAAGGGTAGAATGAGAAATTGCCAAAAGAAACACTCATCTTACAGGTAGACGCACCAGATTATCGACTGTTAGAAGTTGTTGACAACTGTCTTCTAAGACATTAGTTGTCTTTGAAGAAGACTCTAGAGCCTCAAGCCAAGAGCCTATTGTACAACAACTACAACAATCAAGTCTTATTCTAATAAGTAGAATCGACGATTGTTTTATTCTACTAAGTAGAATCGGCTACATGCAAGGACAATTTTAATATAAATTCAGTTATGATCTTTATTGACTTGAGTGTCATACCATCATAGAATTAAAGTAAAAGATCATTTCAGAGTTTGCCATTAAATCTTCAGGTATCAACAACACTTGAAAAAGAAAAGACCCATTCTTTGATTAGTTAGTAACTCAAATGTTTATAAAAATTGAACGTTGTGAATGATTATTAATATAAAAATTAATCCTCAGGACTATGTTTGGATTGATGGAACACAACGAAGTGGAGTGAAATAGAACATAACAGAGCGGAATAGAACGGAGCGGAAATCCCACTCTATTGTTTGGTTATTTTAATTAAAATGTCTCATTCCATCCCTTACACCCCAAATTAGATGGAACAAAAAATAGGAAATTGGATGGAATAGGATGAAATGCATTCCATCATGTTCCGCTCTATTCCATCATCTTTTTACTAATCCAAACAATGGAACACAATATTATTTCGCTCTGCTCCGTTGTGTTTCATCAATTCAAACATAGTCCATGTAACATTGATTTCTTTAAATGTTTCAGACTGCATTTCACCATTCAATTTAACTAGAATATATTTTCACCATATGTATTGTACTAGATAATCTTTCTATCAAAAGATTTTGAATCTCCAAATAAATTCGATTCTATAGTTAGGATAGATGATGGAGGTAATATAGGTAGGATAGTTGTAACATTTATTTAAAGTTTTCAGAATCGAGAGTTTACTTTGAATCGAAAGAGAATAGTAAGATCAAAAAATCGTAAATTGCAACCAAAAATCAATGGATTCTACTCAAATCATTTTGTTGAATCGAAAGGGAAAATCAAGATCGCATAATCGAAAATCACAACCAAAATTGATGGATTCAACTCATAATAGTAAATATATATTATAAAGTGCAAGTACTCAAAGTTTAAAATCATAAAACAACCAAGTCTCAAATCTTAAATATAAAAGTACTCAAAAGTTTAAAATCATAAAAGAACCAAGTCTCAAATCTTAAATATAAAATAAAATACTTAAAGCTTAGATGCTAAATTAGATCACTAATGCGCCATCTACTTGGATCATCTCCCATAATGTCAACATTGTCATCTTCATTAATCTCAAATGAATATCAATAAAATAGGGTTTTCCCCCTTTTTAAATAAAAAGGATTAAAACTGGGTCACAAAACTGAAACACGTCGTCTGTACCCATTCTAAAATTATCTAAAAAAAAAGCCCAAAATCAGTGGAATCCATATGAGATCGCGGATATTGCTACGATTTAGCGATTTTGTGCGATTTTATTGGGATTTTGCTCTGAATTAGGATTCAACTCACGATTCAGAACGTTTAGGGTGAACAAAATCGCAAAATCCATGGATTTCACAATTCTGATCGTGATTCTGACAACAATGCATTTACTTTGCAATCGTCTATTATTGTAACCGTGGAAAAGTGAATGTACATTCATTAGTTTAATGGCACAGATAAATATTGCAATGTGAAATAATAAAATAAGATAAAACTGCACCCTCCAAATTCTAGAAGAAAAGTATGCAACATAATACTACTTGTCATCTTTCCAGTTTGCTTAAAATTGCATCCATTGGCGGAAGCTCAAGCGCAATTTGCTGCCAGTCAGGTATACCCTGCGAATGCATTAGCATATATTAGTGTATATAGATTGCTGATAATGGCTAGTTTCCCTGAAACCGCACTTACTTTCCCCGATCTTCGAACTCGCCCGTCTAGGCGCAGTATTATGTACACGTCTTCGCCAACAGGAACTCCTTCAGACTTCTGCTGATCTCTTATCCACCTAGTTCAATTAACACATATTAGCAATTCTTAGTTGACATCAATCCACACTTTCAATATGATGAATTTAGGCAATTCAATTGTATAAACAAGATATCGGAACTAAGTACCGTTCCCATTCGGCTGGCGATACAACCTCAGCCTTGAACCTAACTTCAGCTTTCAGTTTTGATTGTGCAGTTATGGACTGTGTCCGCTTCTCAAAATCTTCCTAGCAAAATTTTATGGTTACATTTCGTTTTGCCAAAGAAACAAAAGCTTTGGATAAAAGAAAAAGGTTCATAGAGTCGCATGGTTATATCGAATCTTACCCCAATGGATGGAAGTGCCTCGGCCGCCTTTGGTCGAAGGCCAAAACCTTTCTTTTCAATTTTGGTTTTTCTACCTTCTCCCCAGATGACAGGAACTAACAAAACACCACGCCTAACAAGATCGGTGCGAAATCTATCTGCTCTTTGCAAAGCCAAAGTCACTGATTCTTTTTTCCCAGCTATTATAACCTAAAGTCCAAACCTAAGTTAAACATAGAACATTCACAATACCAAGATAAAGAGCAGAAGAGAAGGAATGTTTATTATACTAACCGGCCTAACTGTGTCCCTTAGCTGCACGAGTTCAACTACACGTTTAGATGACAGGCGCAAAGGCAACCTTGATAGTGTCTCGTTTCGGGATATTTGCGCAAGCTGTTCCTCCTCTTTTTTATTCTCCCAAAGGAATAATGCCACAAAAACAACAATACCTGCACATTGTTGATTCAATTGCTTAGGTGTTTATTGAAGCAATGCGAAAGGTGTTTTTTAAGGTTTACACGCTGAAATTGCCTTATAAGGAAAATCAGGGACACAAGAACATGCAAAGACATACACATTATAAGGAAAATCAAGGACACGAGAACATGCAAAAACATACACAAAGAGAAAAACACTAAATTTAACAAATATATAAACTGAACCTGAATTGTTTTATCAGGAAGTTAAATAGGTCACTTTCACCTCCAATGTTAACGGCAGCGTTGCCAGCGGTTTCCAAGAGATCAGGAGCACCATCACCACCTTGAATTACACGTAATATCCTTGGTACATTAAAGAACAATGATATTCCTGCGGATGCTGTAAATGCTACGTAAAAGAATCTCCTAATCCCACGAAACGGTGCTTGAACTTCACTGATAAGTTTTAAATCTCTTCGAAAACTAGAACCGACATCTTCCCCACCAAGTCTCGCCTGGTTACATGGCAGAAAAACATTAAAAATCAATGAGCATATAAAGATGGTACAACTTAGCAATACAAAATCCTTGGGAACTAATTAGAAAACCTCTTCTTGTAGTTCTTTGAATTCAGGCAAAGCTCTGAAGGAGGCCAAGTCTGGATCATTGAGAATTGTGCCAAATTTTAGATTGTAATCTCTTAAGGCAGTGCGAAGACATTCAGCAGCTTTCTTTCCTTCTCCTCTTCATAAAAATAATCACCAAACAACATCCAAGTTAGAAAGAGAAGATGAAAAAACAGAAGCATAAGCAAACCAGCTTCATGTGTAAATCAATTGATTTTATTTGTACTATCATTTATCATATCTAGAACGTTCAAGCAACTGAGAATTTAATAATGTTAGAGGTGCCCTTACCAAAAACACCTACAAACTTTGCAGAATTATGAATTAAAATTCACCAAGGACAAGTATGTAGGTTCTTCATCTTACCATCTCACAGTATAAAACCCCATGAATCAAGTAATTTGTTCAATCTGAATGAACTAGAACATCTTCCATACAACAACAACAACAAGAACCAAGCCTTATCCCACTAAATAGAGTTGGCTACATGGATCAATGCAGCATTCTAATCTTATCTTGTGTTGATTATTAACCGCCCAACATTCTGTCCGATACAACATGACAGGTCTTACCACAGTCCGATAAAAACTTCCCCTTCATAGTAACATAAGTTATACTAGTATGGGGAGAGTATTATACCTGTAAGCATGGCAGCAAGCTTTGTTATAGAAAGCAGCTTGGGCCTCTAGAGGATTTGGATTCAAAGAAAGCGCTGTTTCAAACTGTGTCAAAGCACCTTTAACCTGAACAATCCACAACAAAAAAGAATCCCCTTAAACACCATTGTTTGAATACTATAAAGAAAATTTAGAAGATAATAAACTATACCTTTCCTTTGGAGAAAAGTTGAAGACCCAAATTGACACAAGATTCAGCAGTTTGAGTTTGAGTTTGAGTTTCTGGGGTTTGAGATGAAGAACATGAAATTAGTGGAAACTGAATCTTAGAATTGCGTGAACGTAGATGAATGGAGCTGAGTTGAGGAAGGGGAAGGCATGGTCTTGAGATTCTGGAATTTGATTGTGATGAGAAGAACAAGAATGGTTGCGCTGCAAGCATGGCCATTGTTGTCACCATGTTTCATATCTTGTTATGTTAATGTTGTTTTTGTTCTTTCTATTATCCAAACGTTGTCACAATCTTAACCATTCGGTTATTGCCAAATTTCCTACTGTGGAAATGGACGGTCAGTATTTTGCGACGCCGTTTTTTATAAATATTTTTTATTTAAAAAATATTATTCATCGGTAACCAAAAAAAATAGTATGCAAAAACATCAAAACATAGTCACATACTCGTTCTATTTTTAGGACTAGAATGCAAACCCAATTTTTTTGGGTAAAAAAAAAAGCTTAGAGAGTTTGCAGAGAAAAGGAGGAAAGGATTTTGAAGAAAATTTTGCCATGCATTTTATTAATTATCTATCTATCCCTACAAATTATGTATTTAGACGAAAATATTTCCATATAAATATTTACACTTTTAAAAATTATTATTATTTTATTTCGTTTTTAAGAGTCGAGAGAATGAAATTCGAAGAATATAACATCAACGTTTTCGAAGCACCTTTCTTCCGAAGCACTTTTCGTACACAAATCGAAGAACACGGCTTAAAGTCACCCGGTTCTTCTTGATACACTCTGGATAACACAAAAGTGTTTCAGTTTTTGTAAAAAAAAAAACACCAAACTGAAATACTTGGGCATGGGTTCTCCGGTTCTTTTTGATACACTTCAGATAACATTCTGCCATGTTATCCGGATCTTGTTGAGTTATTTTGGATAACTCTTGATGTGGTTATCCGGTTCTTGGATTTTTTAATTTTTGTTATATTTATTTTTAGTGGTTCCCAGAATAGGAGACACGAACAACAACTATATGCGACGAATGATTGAAGAACGACAACGTCGATGGTGTTGGAAGTAATTCATATTCAGAAGCTGTTGTTGGAATCAGAAGCTTATGATGTTAGTTAGAAGCAGTGTTGCTCAGAAGCAGTAAAGCTTCTGAGACTGTTAGTCAGAAGTAGAAGCTTCTGATGTTTCGCTCAGAAGTATATTTAGCTTATGGGGTTCTAGTTCTTTGTTAGCGTAGCTGTTAAGTTTGTTTAGTTATTAAGTTTACCATTTGTTATGGCCTATGTGACAATTTACTTTGTGTATAAATAGACTAGTTGTAGCTGTCATAAATATAGTTCAATCATTCTTTCTTACAACTTCATAGTCGTCATTGCAGAGCTTTAATATTATTCTCCCATACACTTGCTTCATTTATTAGCCTTGTGCCCCAACAAATTGGTATCTAGAGCTCGGATTGAAATCCACGGGAAACACTAGTGAAACAATGAGGCGTTGTATGATTGATTTTGATTCTTGAATTCGTGTTTGAATCTTGAACAAAATTGGAACATAAACACATTTTCTGATTCTACAGAATTGGGAAACACTGTGTTTAGTGAGATCTTAGTGACTTGCACAAGGTTGAAGATGAACGGAAACAGTAATCTGAGTACCAAACTTCTAGTTTTTTATGGCAAGAACTAGAATAGATGGTTGATTCAGATGCGCATTTTATTTGGTGATCAAGATGTTCTTGAGCTTGTTACCGAAGGTTACGTTTCGATTACAGCAGATGCTACAGAAGAAAAGAGAACCGCACAGAGAGATAAAAGAAAGAAAGATCAGAAGACGTTGTTCTACATTCATCAGTGTATGAATGTGAGCGTGTTTAAGAAAATCGTTGATTCGATGACAGCGAAGGCTGCGTGGGACACACTGGTTAGGTGTTACGGTGGTGACATTAGTGAAGAAGGTGAAGCTTCAGTCTCTAAGAAAACAGTATGAGAATCTCTATAATACTAGAGGTGTTCTAGATGTCATCATGGCGAAGGCTGTGGAGGCTCTATGTTACAAACGACAACAGAGGAATATCGCTAATATCACGGGCCAACTCATTATCTGCCATACTCAGTAGTCTGATAGTTTTAGATGCCTTTTATTTATAGTTCTATTATGTTTTTCATATTTTAGATTATTTGGATAACACTTTGAAGAATATTTTGCGTATTGTATTTTGGAACATAATATTTATGAGCATTTGCACGTATTTTGTGATTACTTCGTATTTAATCGAAATCGTATTTTACTACATATTTTGTAAATGTGCCAAAACCTGCATAATAGTATGGTCTGAACTGTTTGTACAGGAACCTGATATGCATATCTAGTACTAAATTATAGTTGCATTTCCGGTTTCAAACATGAATTTTTTTTTTTAAAAGTACGTCCAGAAAATACATTTCCGAGATTGTTTTTTAATTATTCATAAATTCTTTTCCATCTAAAGTGCCATAAAAAATTCTCCATTTATTTTGTGGTTACTAGTCTTCTTCAATAACTCCATTTGGGGTAGGAGTTACATTTGTGGCCCAATTAGGGGTGTGCAAAAAAACCGGTTACTGATAACCAAATTCATACCTAAATTGTTCTATTTATTAAAACCCAATCCAAATATTAAATATTGGATTTGGTGGTCCATCTATGGTCAAAGTGGTAAACCTGTACCCATAAAATGGTTATTGAGTATCCAAATTTCTCTCATCAAATTTTTCTGCTTTCCAATTTTCACACTTTCTCAAGAAAATAAGCTCTACATATTTTCATAAAAATTGAATGATGTTTAACACTTTATTTCAAATGACTAATTATTAAATAAATATAAAAATGTTTAATTATAGTTAAAAAATATGCAAACACTCTCAAATAAATTGAAAGATATAGTATACTAAACATTTAAAACGCAAGATATATTATTATCACTGTAGAAGACAAATTTAAATTTGAAAAAAATTTATTTGAACTTGATCTCTTTTCATTCAATATACATATACTTTATATAAGAAAACGAATGTGCACAGTGAATTAATTAATACTATCTCAGTATTAATTGATTTTTCTTTTAGGATTGATAAAACAAAAAGGATCATTTAAACATAAAAATGTTTTAAAAAATGCTTTGTGACCGTGAGAACGACTGCGACAAAATGTATTGGACATATGTCGATATCAATACTGTTATATCCGTTTTATATTAAAAAATAAATTATAATTAATAATTTACACTGCGACGAACACAATCAATATCGTAACCCCTCTATCGACCGAAATTGCAAAATTGTAATACGACCGCGACAATTTTTTAAAATCTGCTTAAAATTAAATTAAGGATGTGCTTTATTAATGTTTAAAAAAATTAATACTGAATTAATTTTAAAATTTTATTAATTAAAATGAATTGAATATAGATTAAATTATATTTAAATAATTTGGATTAAAATTAAAACTGGTTTCAAATCGGTTTTAATTCGGTTTGAAACCAATTATGTTTTTTAAATCAGGTTTTGTGATTAATGGTTTGGTTTGTAAACCATAACCATAAAAGTGACTTGGATCACAATATACGGTAACCATGCACACCCCTAACCCAATATTATTTATTATTTCTTGCTGATTTGGGATAGAGATTTCCTCTTGTTGATATACATTAATTATATCTGGTCGCATCTCTTGAGATATTCCCCGTGTTACTTCTTTAGAACATAAGAGCATGATTATCGGTGTTTTTTGAGAGTTCCTACACATTTATTAAAGAAATTGTGTCAATAATTGTTGGCTCCTAAATTCGACACCCTTGTTTGTTATCAATATAGATCATTAATTATGAGTTTGAAGAGTTTCCAGGTTTCGACCAGCTGATCCCGTCGAATGCTCATCAGAAAATGGCAAGGTACTTAGAGAGTTTCTTTTAAGTGGGAATCTTGTTACCTTCGACGTCGAAGGAACTTCTCGACAAAGGTATCTGATGCCCAGGGTGGAACGGTTTGAGATTCAATGTTTGGAGGGAAAACAGTTCCCAGCAGTTACCAAACGCAACGTGCCAAGATCAGGAGCGTCGAATGCTGTGAGCGTGCCATGTGGCATCATCTCGAAGCGACGTAACTGCCCAACGGTTACTTAAGATGTGGTTTAGTATAAATACTAGTTGTTCACGTATCTTTCGCGTGTGTTCATCATTATATACAAGTCACTCATCTAGATTCAAGTACCCAGTGTGAGCGAAAGAATTGTTGAGAATGCATGTGTGAAACACCATCCAAGTCTTTTATATTCAAGCACTTTATTGCCTTTCATTTACTCATCTCTGTCGAAGCCTTTTATTTAACGCTTTCATTTATTCTATCAAGCTTTTCTTCATGCAATTTACATAAAGTGTCTTTACTTTACTGGCATTAATCATCATTAGGTTTAGTCAAACTCCAGAAAATCAACCATGTCTTAGGATCAATCTGATCGATCCTGCGAGTCACCAAATAAGTAACCTTTTGGAAGATCAGCGGTTGTTTACCAATTTCCACGGTAAACAAATTGGCACACCCGGTGGGACCTTGTGTTGATTTTTAAGGTTAACCGTATTTATACAAAATATCATCTTTTTTGAGAAGTATTGCATGTTATTGAGAAGTGGTAGAATATACACTAACGATACCAATACTAGGAGAAGAAGAGAAGTGATGGCGAATCCGCCAAACAATAGCGAAATCCCACAAACAAATGTGGGAACAACAGTTATTCCAACCGCAAGTGAAAGGGTAACCGCTGGTTCAACACCAGCAGTAACGATCACACAAACGGGGCCATTACCTCCATTCACTGGCCCCAGAATGCCTTTGGGAACTCCCCCACCAAGGGGAAACCCAGGAACTAGGCCTTATGTTCCCCCAGGATTTTCGACAGTCGGTCTAAATCGAGAACCACTCTATGGCATGCCAACTTCTGAATTGGCTAGCCTGACGAATGTTGCGTCCACTTTTTCAGACCCTTTAGTGAGCGCCTCTTCGCCACTCCAAGGTTCCGGAGTTGGTATGGCGAACAGGGGTAGGAGCCAACTCTTAGGAGGAACGTCCCAAGTAGCGCATGGCCTTACGAATGCCTCGACAACAGTCTTGAGGCAGCAAATGGACGGAAGCAACCACGATATGGTTCAAATGTTGGCACAAACTTTAAGCA